AAAAAAAAAAAAAAAAAAGAATTTTTCATGTTGTAAATAAATATATAGCTAATCAATACAAAAAAAAAAAAAAAAAAAAAAATGATGATCACGTCTTTGGTAAGACATTTTAAAATGCGTATGGAAAACGTTACAATTAATTTAATAAATGTTTCAAAAAAATTATTCTCACATAATTTAAAAAGAAAAAACCTTAAAATTGCATCACATCGATTTTACTACATTAGTTTCAATAAAAAAAATTGCATTCAATATTTTGGATTTGACCATCGTCGAAAATTAAGTTGTGGAAAAAATAATTAATTACTCACATTTCTTTTTCAATTTCCCCAATAGGAAGCATATGAGGAAAAAACGAATTTATTTCTGGATTTTTTAATGCAAACTCCATGACGTATCATCATTTTTTTTTAAAGCGAAAACGAAAAATAATTATTTTTATAAATCTACCGTAAACTTTTAGTTTTTGTGCATCAATATATATATATATATATAAAAACGCTTTTTCTGGGCCATTTTTAAAACGTTTTAAATTCCCTTAAGTAGTCAAAAAAAAAAAAATGTTGACTAAATTTTAATGTGATTTAAGGGAGGGTAAATTAAATATCTTAGACCAATAGCTTTACAATATAAATATTATCATTATGGGTTTTTACATTCCTGAATTAATTTTAATAAATAAGTTGAGGATAGAGCTACATTCAGTTGTGAAAAGTTTGCCTATTCACAATAAAAAAACTCACGTTAATATATGCATAGCTCTTTCTATGGGTCTGCCTTCAAAATGATCATCATACATGTGTTTTTTCATTTCTTCACTTGTCTTTAATTCTGATTCATTTGGTTTATCCAATTGAAGGCTTGCAAATTCTTCATAGTCCGCATTGTGCATAGAATTCGATCTGCTCCTAACAGAAGGTTGACTTCCTTGGACAGATGGTTTAGGACTTGGAGTCGGAGTTGGTTTAGCCATTTTCATGTACAATTTGAATAAGTCCTCTTGTAAATTTTTCAAATTGTTGTTAAAAAAAAATTTTTTTTTTTTAAATATGTTTATATTATAATTATCATGAAGGGATAAAATTAATTATAATCTTCAAGAAAATA